TTCTCATGCACTGATTCGCTAAGCTGAACAGCCAATCAGAGTGATTTCTTTGGCCGACGGCCTTTTACCGACAGCCTCCGGCGGAAGGTGTCGGCACGGCCGAAAAGACACGACGGGGCAGGACACACCAAGACACACCAATCTGAGTAGGGCGACACGACGCTCATCGACGGTCCGACATCTATCGACGGCCGAAATCGGCTTGGTGTGTAAGGGACTTAAAGTAAAAGAAACACAGAATCAGCACTTTTGAAACAGGGCTGAAACAGAGGGGTTTATGGGATGCTACAAGGCATGATCTGTTTGATATTTTTGAGCCAAACACTTCAGAGACATGTTTTGTATATATCTGAGACCTATAATATATTGATGAACAATAGGGGACCTTTTTAAGGATTGTATTACCCTTCTTACTTGATATTTTACCTTGGAAAAGGGTTTATCTACATCTGTTTCTTAAACACATGATTAATATTAGGACTGATCAAGATTGAAGATACAGTTTATTGATGGGACTGCAGGCACATCCTTCTTACTATCAAACTAGTTTCATTAAGGGATAAATGGAAATGAAGATATAATCCCAACAACTCCACTGGAGCATTGCCAGAAATCTTTTACCTTTCATACCTACCATACGGCCGTCAAATGAACCTGCCTCATCCATCATATCCATTACCTGGATGTGTCTGGTGTGAGTCGCAGGCTGCCGGAGGTTGAATGATGCCACAAAGTGCCAGGAAGCTCCCAGGGTGGCGCTCAGGAAATGCCAAGGTTACTATTTCCGTGCTGTAACATCAGCAAAGAAGAGACAGACAGAGAGACAAAGGAAGGAGGAGGAGGACAGGAGATGAGTTCAAGCGAGAGAAAGAAGAGTGAGGAAGTCGGAGAGAACGCTATCACCTTTCTCTTATTGTTACCATCAGCAACATGGGGAGGAAGGGGGGGATGAGACAGTGCTGCTCACATTTCACTCAGCACTACATGAGGACACACTCACACTGATTAAACAACCCTGATACTGTAGACTCACTGTACTGAAGTATTAATGAGTGATGAACAGACATTTAGTGGTCCTACTGTACAGCAGTAAGGGACAATTCCCAACATCAGACTGTGAGTGGTCAGAATATGATCAGGCAGCGTCTCACTGCAGCTGATCTTTGATACTGGCAGTGGCCCCTCATGCTGATGTGGTTCTTACAGTATGTCCTGACATTTTAATATAAACTTAAGAAATGATTTTTGGATTGGATTGGGGATTTACTCTTCATTTACAGTAATGTTTCATTACTGTACTTGAACAAAAGAATGTAGACACCCAAACATGTAATTGTGAAACATCTTGTTTTAAAATAATGGACTTAAACATGCAGCTGTAGAGGACTCCACGCTTTCTACAAACTTACTGAACGACTGATTCGATCCTATTAACAAAAAGCAAAAAACACATCGCTGAGTATAGAAACTGAGGTTGGATGTTGAGGCCTGGCTCTAGAGGTTGTTTTCAGCTTTTGCATGTCGACAAACCTCTGTTCTGCTGCTTGACACATTACATTGCATTTAGCTGACGCTTTTATCCAAAGCGACTTACAATAAGTACATTCGACCAGGAAGACACAACCTTGAAGAAAACAGAATCATATAAGTACATCAGGTTTCATAGAGCCAAACATTTCAAGTGCTACTCAACTGGCTTTAGATAAGCCAGTCCTTTATTAGTATATAAGTGCTTTGTTAATAATTCTATCGCTCAAAATGGAGTCGAAAGAGATGAGTTTTCAGTCTGCGCCGGAAGATGTGCAAGCTGACACAAATGTATGACCTTACTGCAGCACATTGTCTCTGGACTTGCTGTTTTATCAAGTTGCTATAAGGCTAATGGGATTTTTGTGTGTGTTCAAACCGGTAAAAAACCCATAAATAAGATTATTAATTTAAAGCGACAACACTGTCAAGTAGGCTGATGTTTTACATGTTGTGCTCTTTAATAATAAGGAAAGAATGTGTATGAAGGGGTTTTCGATAAAGATAAAACAATAGACAAATAAAGTCTGCGCGCCCTATTGGTTATCATTAGTCAATCATAAACAAAGACAAATTCTGCCTTGATGCAGCCCATCTATTCTATCTTTATACGTGTTCTTTAATATTCACTCTAGCTAGTTTCAGAAGGCTTCACCATCAATCAGAAAAGTTAAGACAACAAAGAAAGTTTTAAAATAGTCTTAAGACCAGCATTTGTGGCTGATTGATCTGCTGAAGTAGGATGTGCATTAAGATATTAGGCGAGGACAGATCAGATTGCCCTGGGTTTGCAATTCCCCGCCTCTCATAAGCCCTAAAGACACAGCGTTGTCATATCCTGATTGGCAAAGATGGGAAATGCAGCAAGCTGCTCTCAATCGTTTTTTTGGAGTGTGCAACAAGTGATCTGATTAAGCCTTCAATCAATTTCGGCATTCAGCTTAAAGCAGGGAAAATTACTACAGATACCAAATAATTAGCGGTAACATTTTATGATAAGGGTACATGAATCATCGTGAATTCATGCATGAAAAAGCATGAATTCATTCATGTAGTACTTCATGAACTATCAGTAACTTATAAGGATTAATATTATCTCATGCATGACTTAATGCAGGAACAATACCTTAATTAATGCATCAACTAAGGGATCTCAATCATCAAAAAATCTGTGATAGTGAGCACTTCTCCTTTGCCGAGATAATCCATCCCACCTCACAGGTGTGGCATATCAAGATGCTGATTAGACAGCATGATTATTGCACAGGTGTGCCTTAGGCTGGCCACAATAAAAGGCCACTCTAAAATGTTCAGTTTTATCACACAGCACAATGTCGCAAGTTTTGAGGGAGCGTGCAATTGGCATGCTGACAGCAGGAATGTCCACCAGAGCTGTTGTCCGTGAATTGAATGTTAATTTCTCTACCATAAGCCGTCTCCAAAGGCGTTTCACAGAATTTGGCAGTACATCCAACCGGCCTCACAACCGCAGACCACGTGTAACCACACCAGCCCAGGACCTCCACATCCAGCATGTTCACCTCCAAGATCGTCTGAGACCAGCCACTCGGACAGCTGCTGCAACAATCGGTTTGCATAACCAAAGAATTTCTGCACAAACTGTCAGAAACCGTCTCAGGGAAGCTCATCTGCATGCTCGTCGTCCTAATCGGGGTCTCGACCTGACTCCGGTTCGTGGTCGTAACCGACTTGAGTGGGCAAATGCTCACATTCGATGGCGACTGGCACGTTGGAGAGGTGTTCTCTTCACGGATGAATCCCGGTTTTCACTGTTCAGGGCAGATGGCAGACAGCGTGTGTGGCGTCGTGTGGGTGAGCGGTTTTCTGATGTCAATGTTGTGAATGAAGTGGCCCATGGTGTTGGTGTTGGTTGGTGTTAAGCGTCTTTGGGTCCAGAAAAGCGCTATATAAATTAATATATTATTATTATTATTATGGTATGGGCAGGCGTATGTTATGGACGACGAACACAGGTGCATTTTATTGATGGCATTGTGAATGCACAGAGATACCGTGACGAGATCCTGAGGCCCATTGTTGTGCCATTCATCCACGACCATCACCTCATGTTGCAGCAGATAATGCACGGCCCCATGTTGCAAGGATCTGTACACAATTCCTGGAGGCTGAAAACATCCCAGTTCTTGCATGGCCAGCATACTCACCGGACATGTCACCCATTGAGCATGTTTGGGATGCTCTGGATCGGCGTATACGACAGCGTGTTCCAGTTCCTGCCAATATCCAGCAACTTCGCACAGCCATTGAAGAGGAGTGGACCAACATTCCACAGGCCACAATCAACAACCTGATCAACTCTATGCGAAGGAGATGTGTTGCACTGCGTGAGGCAAATGGTGGTCACACCAGATACTGACTGGTTTTTGGACCCCCCCAGACTCAGACAATAAAGCAAAACTGCACGTTTCAGAGTGGCCTTTTATTGTGGCCAGCCTAAGGCACACCTGTGCAATAATCATGCTGTCTAATCAGCATCTTGATATGCCACACCTGTGAGGTGGGATGGATTATCTCGGCAAAGGAGAAGTGCTCACTATCACAGATTTTTTCAGATTTGTGAACAATATTTGAGAGAAATGGTTATTTTGTGTATATAGAAAATGTTTTAGATCTTTGAGTTCATCTCATGAAAAATGGGAGCAAAAACAAAAGTGTTGCATTTATGTTTTTGTTCAGTGTATATGAAGAAGACATGAACATCATTAATAACTCAGAAGTCATGATGATTGAGATCTCTTAGTTGATGCATTAATTAAGGTATTGTTCCTGCATTAAGTCATGCATGAGATACTATTAATCCTTGTACATTACTGATAGTTCATGAGTACTACAGTACATGAAGGAATTCATGCTTTTTCATGCATGAATTCATGATGATTCATGTACCCTTACCATAAAGTGTTACCAAATTAGCAATAGTTTGCTTGCTGCATTAAAATGTCCCCTATTTGGAACCAAAGGTGCCCACTTTTTTAAAAAAAACTGCCAGCCCCCAAAAGTACACAATATGTGTAACAGGGTTGTCCACTCGTTAGCCAACCTATACCTCTATATGTTAGCATACCTATATGCAACATAATAACTCAGAATATTAAAATATAGGTACCATGTGACCTAAGATTTTCATCGTCATAACTACACTGTTATGTTCGTATGACCAATAAAAGCCTTGAACCTTGAACCTTGAACATGCATTATAATAAATATGTTTTTAGAAAGCCTAGACTGAGACTGTATAGAATTAAATATCTATCTTAGAAAGGAATGTGGTAAATATTGATAATGTGATTTAGTTTATTGCCACTACGGTTACTATTCTTGCAAATCTTGTTTAGAGATGTAATGGGGCTCATATTGGCAGTGATGGCATGTGCAGGAGTGATGAGGGGATGAGAGCTCTGTTAATGCTCCGATGTTACATTTCTTGGCAGATTACCAGCTCCGGACAAACTAAAGGGCACAGATGCTGCTAGACGAATGGATATTTTCTCCCTCTGTCTGTCTTCCTCTCTCCTCTCCTCGCCTCGCCTCTCTCTGTTCCTCTGGCTCCCTGTCTGCCATATACAGCAGAGGACAAGCACAGGAGGACACATGAAACTGGTCCCCAGCCTGCACAGAAACGAGACATCATCCCTTCCTATAAGACTTTTTAAACTGAGACGGGAAATACTGTTGCATCACCTCTGACCTATGATTTTTCTAAGGGCTTCTCAGGACTCCAGCAAAATGTTTTATTATGTGAATAATGAGCTGATAACTTTGTGACACTGTCTGGTTCTGGCAAGCTCTCGATTCATCACTTTTAATAGACTATCCCTCAAGGTTAATTTAGAGCACAATTTGGGGAGGAATCTAAAATAAATCCTCAGAGATAACATTTTAAATAATAATAAAAGAAATACAATTTGGAGCGTTATCTTTTTTCTTGTCCTTGGCCACTCAGATGTGTAGCTTTTATAACAGCCAAAACCAAAATATAGTGTACAGCCAATATACAGGAACTATGATGACTCATTGTTAATTTATTTCTCAAAGGGACAGAGTACTTCATGTGTCTATAAATCTAAAGTGTGCCATCCTACCAGATTTGTATTGTTTTTCTGTAGAGAAGGTTGTTCCATGCTTCTTTAAATGCAAGGGTTATTCTCCTTCATGTGTTTTGTCCTTGCTTTATAGTCCAGGAGTGCATTATAACTCTGTTATTAATCTTCATCCCTCTCAGAGGCATATTCTTTTCCCGGAACCTTAATATCACATATTCATCGCCTTAAAAAAAATTCTATGTATCATCACCTTTAGCACTGTGAACATAATCCCCAGTGAAGTGAAACTAACACCAGCGACCAGATCAATGATTAATAAGGCACAATATTGTCAGAGGCATTGGCAGAGTAACACAATACCATCAACGTGCTCTCATGGGGCCTGTAACCTTGTCCTTGTGCTCGCAATCAGCTTGCCGCTTTGAGGCAGGGACTGAAGGAATGAGCATGGTGCAGAATTTTTCTGTCATCTGTTGTTTATACTGTACTAGTTAGTCCCCTGTGGAAACTGCTTGAAGGGCAAAGCAGGGGATGGAGGCGCAGAATAAAGGTAAAATAACCTGCGGGGACTTCTTTACAGAATCTGAGAATATAGCTTACATGTTGAGGTAATTGTTTTTCCATGACCCTTTTTTTCCCCAATATATATTCAGTATGTTGGCCTCTGCAGCCCCATCAACTTTTTTAAAGTGGTGTGTGGTGGGATTCACTCCCTCTGTTATGCATGTATTGCACCACATCAGTTCAGCTGCTCTGCAAACAGCAAAAAGGGTCCTGTGTGGATTTATTGCATCTCTGTGACGGAGCCTTCTTTTACAACCATTCAATTTTATTGTGGGGACATTTTTTCTGCAACTAATGAGCATTTTCAATAAGTGTGTGTTTTAATGTGTTCACTTTAATTTATCTAACTACTATTTGTCATTGGGAAACAAAGGGATATATTTGGAAATTAAACGTTTTTTTTTATCTTGTTTTGGAATATTGTGTTTTTTTTAAGAGGAGTCTTTTGTAATGAACATCTGACTGTGTTCAATACATGTTTAGGTTTATACATTTACTAAGCCTAAACCTATGGCAGAATAATGTCGGTTAAACTCAGCTTTGACATAGAAAAACTGAAAAATATCAGGTATATTTGTACTCATTTTAATCACACTTCATATACTGAAGATATACTGTCTCTTGGAAAATAATATAAAACGTTTCATAGCAGAAGACATTTTGCTCTGGATTAAATTGTTTCTAATACTTTCCCTGTTTTGGCCTGACGTAAAAATCTCTAAATCCTCTCAGCCCTGCCGCCCCCTGCGCTCTGCTCACCTCTTCTTGCTGTTATGCTTGGATACACAACCTGTCATTGCTACCTTATACTGTGGGTCAAAAGACAGATTCATGTAAGAAAGGATTACAGGGTTTCTGTGTGTTGTAAAACAGCAGTGTGAATCTTTTCATTTTTCTGTGGGTGTGTGTGTTATAGAGAGATTGGTGCTAGTCCACACCAGGCCCTGCAGGCTGCTGCTTTGTGCATTGTGCCTCCAGTTTGCTCTCTGTCATCACTCCAACAATGTGTAACTGTGTGACCCCTTTTGTCTCAAGGCAATAGGCTGTGTGCATGTGAAGGCAGATAAAGAGGTGTGACACACACACACACACACACACACACACACACACACACACACACACACACACACACACACACACACACACACACACACACACACACACACACACACACACACACACACACAATGCAGGACCTTTTTACTGAGGTTCTTAATGAAGGCGATGTGAGTAGTGACTCAAAGGCTTTAGAAACATTTTATAAACACCGATGACCTTCATTTATCACTGTGCACAGTATTTCTCAATAGTGGGACCTTTATGCTTTGAAAGTGAGCGTTTCAACTTTTTTTTTTAAGATTCAATAAAAACAATGCAGCAATGTCAGCATACTGTACATTCACATCATTTTGTGAAAGACAATGAAGAATAATGAAATCCCAGTTCAAACTTTTGCAAGTGTCTTGAAATGTTATCACTGGCCAAAAGGATGAAACGGATCTAATTTCCCCCCAAGAGTTATTTACCCTTTTCTGCTTTGTGAGGAATTATAATGACCAGTTATCTGAGCCAATAATACATCTACTACATCAAAAGTGCTAGCAGGACCTTTTTCATCCCCAAGTGCACCCTCATAATTAAATGAAAAAGAAATATGTAAACCAAAAGTGCTTTGAGCTAAATGCAAATTGATCCAAATAGAAAAAATGAGCACCACTTTCTTTCACTGAAGTGCTTCAAGAATTCAAATTAACTGAATTATGCCTCATTAAAAACATACCAATATGACTTGATGTCAAATGTTGCTGCTGACCCTTACCCTGTTTCTTTTCTTAATGTTTCCCTTGATTTAGAACCATCTTGTCACAGAGTCCCACATTCCTGAAAGTAGGCCTATGTCACATTTTCACAAAATTGGTAGAAAAACAGCCTCCAAACTTTGTCAAAACTGGTTCAAACTAATGTTACTTTTACATTTCAAAGCTGTGCTAAGGACTTCTTTAGCCACAACGCGGCAAAAGATCAAGCGGACTGATTCGCAGTCTAATACCATTTTACTAATTTGTTAGAAAAAAACGTCATTAGGACACTTTTATGTCATCTTATTCATTTCAAGTCCATTTAAACTTGCCCTAGAATGCACCCAGGACAGTCAAAAGGAAAATAAAAGCCTACTGTAGCTAGTTAGCTGCTAGGGAGCTTGTATGAATTGGCTCACTAGCTAGTTAGCTTGTACTTTTGACCTTGCCTTGTCTTGCATGTGCCCAAGAGACTCTTTTGGGCATCTGTTGACCCAGGGCTTGGAACAACTGCCCTGAAGTTCCTATTGGACAGGGTCTGGAATGGACCTCGTACTCTTTAGTTTTCGAAAATGCCACTTTTTAAAAATAAATAATTAAATGACTCAGGAAATACATGTAGTTCCTCCTTTAATGAATGACTGTCCGCTGCTTGTGTTCTGCAGCGTGAATCTCGCTTTGTCATAAACATCTCTTTTTGAAATGATAAGCATTCACAATGACAAACTGTCTTTATGGGCCTCTGCCATTACTTGTGCATACAACACACATTGGCTTTTATATAAAGTACAGTTTCTGATAGAAGTCCAGAAGCTATTGTCCCTTTCAATCTGATTGGGTATCCAAACAATTCTGAGGAAAAAAGGGGATCATAAGCTTTCTTGGCATCCAGTTGGTGATGGCTATGGTGGTGTGTACACTGGAAGAGGTTTATGGCTAAAGATGTTGTTTACCAAAAAGGATAAATGGGAGCAAGATATTGGTGAATCTGAATGTCTTCAGCACAATGAATAACAATGTTACATTCAAAGTAGTAATTTGATTCAGTGTCCATTTTTTTGAAACATAGATTAAAGCAAGTTTGGGGAAAACAAGGTGCTGCAAGATTAACATTCCAGACTTTAATACAAAAAACATAAATAATCCATACATTCTTAAGTGCTGTGATATGTTATAATACAATCATGTTCTTGTGTAGGTTAAAGGCAGACAAATAAGCATGTATTATGTCTAATGATAATTAAACTTGAGCCTCACTGACAGATTCACCATCCTCAGATAATTCAAATTTGTCAGCTGAATATTTTCATATATATCGGAGTAATTGGTTGGTGCCAAAGTCACAAAGAATAATTATATATTTAAATATATTTTAGATTTCTTTATATATATATATATATATATATATATATAAATACTCACTCATTCTGAATATTCCAGTTTTATTTTAGCTTTCAGCTGCTGCTGTTATCTATTATCATACAATAATTGAGGTGATAGTGTTTGGGTGTGTGCAAAAGAAAATGTCTTGAACAAATACATGTGTATAGCATACAGAATATTAAATGTGCATTAGTTCAATTTGTATATGAACCTTCAACCATTTCCTTGAGTCAACTTTGAAAAAGTGCCCTTAGCTTTATCTTTGTAGTCTTAGAACTTTTTGTATGGACACCATTTGGGGAGAAAAGCTTATCCAAACCAAATGACCCATTACATTGAAGTCTACAGTCACACCACATGCCTTCGTTTTCAATTTCAGACTGCTGAACAAACCAGATAACAATAACATCAACAGACTTCTTTTCTGTTTGTGAACCAGCAATTCTCCCTTAAATGTGTTTGTATGTGCTTTTCATTTGACTGAATATCCCTAAATATCACGTCAAATATCAATGATTGTTTTTACGTTTTTTAAAACTTATTTTCCATGTTTTCCAACATGTTGGCATTTGTCCTAAGTGAGTGGAGTTTTTACAGAACATGAATACATTGCTGATTTAGAATGTCAGACTCACATGATAAATACATCTCAAAACATCTAAATGTGAACCTCAACACAAGTTGAGAAAAATCATCTGAATTGGGAGATTTCCAGCTTCACATCGAGCATAGCCATGCAGTCATTATTCTGTGTGTTATCCCTCAATCCTTTCTCTGGCTCTGTGAATGAGATTTGATTGCTTATTGCAAACTTTTTACCAATATGTATCAAAAAGTAAAACCTATATTGCCTCATATACAGTCTTATCGGCTAGTGACAAAGCTGAAGCATCTAAGGGATGAATCTTGTTTTGATTAGATGTCTTGTAATATTTGAGCAAGTCTGCTCTGATTTAGTTGGTGCTAAATGTTCTGATAAGAAGAGAAAAAGCGGCAAAATCGTCTTAGCGTGAGGTTATGTCTCATATGAGATTAGCCAGACTCGAGTTTGTTTCCCTGCGAGCGTGACGGTCCATGTGTCCAGAAACAGTGAAGATATTCAAGACCCGGTCCACAAACCTTTGTCCATGCCTTGTCCTCTCAAGCAGGATGACCACAACAGAGTATATTCCAACACCCACAACTGCAGCCCCCCCCTCCAGCTAGCAAAACTACTCCAGAAATGTACATGTCATTAAGAGCTTGACCAGGCTTCGGCATGTGATTAGCTAGGGCCAGGTGTAGTAGAACCCCTCCACAAATCAACAGTGACATCCCGGTAATCGATACCACAAGGAGGTCCGATAAGCCACCACTTTTCAGCATGTTAATCCTCTGCCGGCTTCGGATGCAATTCATGTCCTGCACGGCCGAGCTGAGCAGTTGTTTGAGCAGCACTCCTAGGGCGAGTAAGCAGAGGGCCGTGCCTGCGCCAAGCCGCCATTCGCTTGAGACACTGGTAGTGGTAGAGAGAAGGCCGACACCTCCCAGCCCGCACCCCAGGATTAGAAGTACAGCCACGAAGTAGCAGAGCAGAGACTTCCCAGGATCTCTGAACCACCACAGCTCCACCTGCTCGTCCAGGATGCTGTGCTGAATCCGAAGTGGGTCTGCTGGACTATTTAGCTCCAATTCAGAGCCACCCTGACCCCTCAGGGGGGAAAAATTGTCCAGTTCAGGCATCTTGATGCCACTCCCAGCCTGATAGAAAAAATCGCCACCACAACGGGTACAATAGAATCCCCTTGATTATAGCCTTCAGACCTTCAGTCCCTATTTCACTCACCAACAGCCATCACTAGTGTGTCAGGACCAGCTGGAAAAAGAAACAGCATTCAAATATTATCCGGAATGTCTGAAGTGTCTTGAGTTGGTGGGATATCTGCAGAGGAAATTAATGATATGCACAAAAACTATATCCTAAAACACTTCACTGAGCTCAGTGAATTGTAGTTGTATTCCTTCTGGCCTCTAGAGTTCAGGTCCTGTGCGGAGGTAAATCCTTGTAGCTCATTCTTACAGAGGTGGATCCAAATCCCCTTTGCAGCTTCAATGTCAAAGGCAGAGTCAAAATGTCCACAGACCTTCCAATCTGATTTTCCAGCTTAGCAGAAGACACCTGAAGAAGACAGATATAGATGTATCAAGGTTTGTGCAAAGTGTACATTTACTTTTCATATATTTTCAGAGTGATATTGCTGATCAGAGGCAGTGTAGGGACATGCCTCTGCTGTTATTCTACAAAATGCATTTTGGTTTGTTGCAGAGAAAGAGAAAAGTGTGTATTTCGGGTACAATGGGACACTTTTCTGATAGGGGTTGCTTAACTATCTAAGTTACATCAAAGTACACAGAGATCCATTGTTAGACATAGAGAGACTTGATACGCAAGTTGAATAGTTTAAGTTCCTAATGTGCTGTGTTGACGAATGAATTTAGACTAATATACGTAAAGCACATAAGGTGCAACAGATCATCTTACCACACAATACTTTGCAATACGTGTGATACATATTTATCAACCAAAGATGGACACACACACAGTTTCTTTGAATATCCATACCTGCTGTTTTGACTGTATAAAGAATGGGCTGTGCTGACACTGGCAACCTTTTCAATTTCTCATTATCACTATGCTAATGAGTTTCAACTGCAGAGGTGGCTGGATAAAACAAGCTTCAGCTTCTGATAGAATAAACAATGCTGATTTACGTGCATGTAAACACACACACACACACACACACACACACAATAGCTCAGTCAATGAAACTTCCCTTTTGAACTCTCAGTTACCTTGAATCCAGTTCATGTTCTTTTCACCCCGCTGTGTGTATTATCTGCACTGGCGTCTTTTTGGGTTTGTTTATGTTGTAACACGTGTGTTAAAGGCTCATTATACCTGCCCATTTCCTCATTTTCTAATATATGCAATGCTATTTTCCCTCATCTGTTCTATCAGTATTTACCTCACCTAAGCACATTTAGTTTCTACTGCAGTTTGTAACATCATCATACTTCCACAACACAATCATGTGAACATATCCAGAACACACACACACGCACACCCAAGGTTATGGCTTCTGACAGCTTGTCTTTTAAACCTGTCAGCGGCTTTATTTCCATCAAAGTCACTAGTGCGCGACACAAGCCCACTCGGCCAAACACAGGCAGTACTTACAGCATGTCCTCATCGGCCGTGGATTATGTTAACACATACACTGTTCTGCAACAAATAAGGATATCTCAACCCGAACGAGTAAGACATGAGCATTAGCCCTCATTTAGACTAGAATATCTTGTTGTTGTTTTGGGTTTACCTTTGGCACCTTTAGAAAGCCCTAAATATGATGTGACAGAATTAAAATGATATCAGATTGAATCAGCCTGTTAGGAAAAAGATGATACACTAACTACAAGATCACATTTCTTAAAAGTGTGGACAGGTATATTGCCATATACAAGGTGTGAAATGAGGAGTGAGGTAATTACTGCAGGAGAGGAGGGGTGCTTATTGGCGACATGCTGCTCTGGAAGCTTTTCACATCCTGTATGTGATGGATGACTGTGTGTGTGTGTGTGTGTGTGTGTGTGTGTGTGTGTGTGTGTGTGTGTGTGTGTGTGTGTGGTGTGTGTGTGTGTGTGTGTGTGTGTGTGTGTGTGTGTGTGTGTGTGTGTGTGCACGTGTGTGTGTGTGCGTGCGTGCATTTGGCAAGAGTGAACAGTTGTTAATGAGTAGTAAAAGCTGAAGTGCATGTGTGTGTTGGCACGTATATTAAAGCTGAAGTGCATGTGTGTGTTGGCACGTATATTTATTTTCTTATGACATGCTTGTGAATAGTTCACAAAGACAGAAATTAATCTGTGTGTGTGTGTGTGTGTGTGTGTGGGTATGTGTGCGCGTGCGTGTGTATGTGTGTGTGTGCGTGCATGTGTGTGCTTGTTGAGTCCCTAATTAATCCCAGCTGGTTTGGGCTCAGTGTCACTGACAGGTAGCACCATAGAAATAGCTCAGTAATTGAGGTGTGTGTCTGTATGTGTTTGTATCTGAGGTGGAGATGACAAAAACAGTATATGTGATACTCCACCTCTATCTACCTCTTTGTCTCATTAAAGTTGAAGATATCCCCTCCCTTCATGCAGTTAGAGTTTATGAAACATTGTCTGTCTCATTCGATAGCTCAAAGTAAAGTGAAGCGTGGACACAACAAGGTGATAGAGTGAGAGGCATTGCACGCAACAAAGATCATAAAATGAAATTGAACCGTTAACGACGCGAGAATATCTTAATCCGTGTTGTGCTACTCACACTCAAAGCTGCTGGTCTGTGTCTTCTTCTCCTCTTATATCACCTTTATGACCTCTAGACTCTGTCATATCGGTCGTATCATATTGGCCTCATAAATACGTATCTTTACAAAAACACAGACTCACTGCTTCACTCTCCACTGGCTTCCTTTTAAAGTAAACAGGTACCAACAATTTACCAAACTACACCTGATTATTTTCAAGGAACCAGTGTGTTTTGTATATCTGGAATTAAAGCCTCTAAAGGCCACCTTACACCTAAGAGAAAAAGAGGGCTTGAACAAAGAGGAAGTTGTTGTCTGGCAAAATGAAAAACTTGTGCAGATGGATAAGGCTTACGACAGGCCTCTGCTCTCAAATATTGTTCCCTATTTACAGCACTATACGATTCACCACACATCATAAGCATAACCTGACCTGTCTCGAGTTGATCTCCTATAGTTGTAAATAATATTTTAACAGACACATCTCTCAATTAACCTACACTATTGCAGTCAGTCCCCTACAGTTGTCCACCGAAACCCTCCTTTACATTATGTCTTACAATGAAACTTCACTTCTTAGCATCCAACAATATTTTAAACAAATTCATAAAATATGGATAATGTATTTCTAATCCGAATGTTACAAAGAATTAGATCAGAAACAGCATTACTGATGATCCACTTTATCCTTTTATTTGGCCCATTTAGGGAGTAAGGGAGTTCTTTGACACGTTTTTTTATACATAGACATTATATCTGAAAAAAATGCTAAATGTCTTTTTTTTAATTGACAGCCGTGATAAGTATATCCTGGACACTCAGCCCTGCAGCAGAAACTAAAATGACTGGAGACAGGCCAGTCAAAACATTATCTGTTATGCTAATGCATTAAGACTAATGATGAAAAATTCCATAGACAATCGAAAACCTCAGACATCTTTCTGTTTCTGCCTCTTCTGAGTTTTAAGCCTACAAGGTCACCAGAGGAGCTGTGCTTTGGAGTATAAAAGCACATTACTACACTCCAATTACCTGAGAAGCATTGGGACTCCGGTATTCCCTCCTCTGTTACGTATGTCAGCCTGCATAATTCATTTCACCAACCATTATTGTCTCCTTTTATAATTGCGTGGTTCTTTAAAAAATGGTCAGTCTGGCATTATATACAAATGAGCAAACTGGTCAGCAGATTAGGTTAGAAGATGGCAACAACAATCCCTGAAAATGTAGTAGCCAAAATCGTGCTTTCTGGAAACATTACAAGGATTGAGGTGGGATGTTTAGTCAAGAGAATGAATGACACATAGTCAATATGGGATCAGTCAGGGGAGGTGTAATGCCCAATGTTAAAGCTTAGATAAAGGGATGGATACAGAGATATTGAAGATCTAACAGGAGTCATTTTCATTTAATTTAATCGTTTATTTGAACCGGGACAATGCACATTAATGAACATTTTAAACAAAATAATGCTTTCAAATGTAAATGAGCCGGATTTTAGCTTTGAGCTCATTTCCATCCGTAGTCCCGTCACATACAACATTTAACCACATGTATTTCTGCTCTAGGGGAAGCCTTCTACTTCTTAGTGTCTTTTTTATGGCGCATTTCCACTACAGCGCTTTGGTTGCGTTTCCACTAGGCGTAGTTCCGGCTAGCGGGTACTTTTTCACAGTTTTCTGGCTCTCCAAAATCGAGGTTCTTTCCGGGCCAACAACCGGGTTGAGTATACTAAACTAGTGAGAGAATCGCTGGCAACTACAACAAAATGAACATATTTTACCGTGATTTAATTGTAATACACGTTTCAAAATCATGCCGAAGTAACAACATACTCTCCTCCAGCTTCTCCTTTTAAGTTCCCAGCTGAATGGAATTAGGACACCTGGGGGAGGCGGAGCCAGGGGCGGACCAGGTGTACCTGCGCAGCAGAGAGACAGAGAAGACAACAGAAAAGGGAGCACGTAACACAGGGCTAACAGCTAACGGCTGATGCTGGAATTGTGTTTCGCATTGAAGATGACGTCACGGCTCTGCCTACACTGCGTTACTATAGACTACCCCAGTTCCTAAACTATAATGGAAACGCAGCATAACGTGAGCCTGGCCTAACAAGGCCTAACGAGGCCTAGTCATACCGTACTAAGCCGAGCGAGGCCCTGCAGTGGAAAAGCGCCATAAGTGGCAAAGTATCCCTCTAATGCTTTGATATACCAGTAAAGATTGCACTAATTTGAAGTTTTTCTTACCGTACTGTATTCAGATGACAGAGGCCGGAGGAAGTGTGGGGCCCAGAATGAAACTTGAGAAACACTTTCGACTGGGAAGAAGACCTCCTTCAGTGTTTTCAATACTCTTGTAGTTTCCTCTTTTTTTACATGATGTTTGTAAGATTTAGAATGTTACCAATGTTTGCATCTTTTCTCGAAACAATAACAGGACAAGATATCTCTGCCAAATAATCAAAGCAAAAATATGTTAGGCACAATTTGGGGGCTGGCGACAAGGTCCTTCTGGTTCTGCTGCTGAATTTTCTGCTGTTTGTGTTTTTAGCAGAAGGCCTCCAGTTGGGCTGAAGGGGAGTCAACGGGAGACTGGGTGGTGTGTTGCTGTTGTGATAAAGCAATACTTCCTGTTTCGCCCCACATGCTCTCACACACACCCCTTCTCCTCTAGTCAGGCATTGATTCTCTTGGCGTCCCCACGGGCGAGGAGAGGGGTCAGGGTTGGCTCCATCTGTCTATGTGATGGGCATTGGTGCCAAGCGCCACAGGGGCTGGATGGAGAGGAAAGAAGGCTCGTATGGAGCGGGAGGGTAACGGATGTTTCTGAGCTGTTATCTGGGACTCTGAGCGGGGCAAAGGCTGAGGCTGAAGCCGGTCTTGGAGAGAGGGAAGGGGCTGAGGGACCGGGATAGGGATAAGGGGGTTAGAGTAGACGGGGTTGAGGATGGAGGGATGGCTTGGGGGTAGAGATTGTGCTGAGACTTCACTGCTGTTCTCGGGGTTACAAATATGGCTGGCAAAGGGAATTGATGCTGAATACGAATTTTCAGACAAGCTGAGCTTTCTTTCTTTTCTACAGTCACATTGGAAAGCAAAGGCAACCAGGGAGCCTCACTCTGTCCGGAAACAATGAAGAGACAATAGCCGAGTCAGTGTCACTGTCCTTGCACTGTCAGGATCACAATGGAAAACCTAAGATAGAAAGAGAAAAACAGTGACCTTCACATCAGCTACACATACTGCACTGTAAACTCGGCTCTATTGTTCACCTTAGCAGGGTGTTTCTACTTAGTCCTCCCTTGTTCTGCCAATGATTAACAGCCTATATCCCTCTGACAGCAACTACATGACTTTGTACCATTTTTTTAAATGCTTGATCTCTCGAAACAGATTTTCTTGTCTCAATTGCATGCCCAATCAAGACTATTGCCACTTGGATTTGGCAGCATGGCTTTAGAAATGGCAATATTTGTCTGTCTACCACTTTGATCTATGGTGATATCATTCAAAATCTATTGGATGGATTGCTATTACATTTTTATGCAGACATCCGGAGTATACTTTCTGTTGACTATTGTGATTCGCTGACAGATCTTGCCCCACCAGCGTACCAAAGTTTCAACCGAACAATGTAAACATATACTTATTGCTTGGTACAACATTTTGTGAATAATTATATATTCTACAGAGGGTGTAGAAAAATGACTGATGATTCCCTGACTTGTCTTTGAACACTACTGTGGTTTTAAGTGAAGTTTTTGGACCACTAAGGGATAATTAACCTCAATCTTGTGATCCTTCGACTCAGCAAGTGCCATAGGTTACAATTATTAAATACTTTATACTGTACTTTAAAATAATTCCATTCCCATCAGCAATAGCTGTTTTTTTTACTGGTAATAGCTAGATGTTTGCATTCTAACACATTCAACTAAAAATGTTTACTAAGACAAGCAGTATACCTACACCTGCATTGCCATTGTGATCAAATTAGTATGGTCACCAGCTTGGTTGTAGACTCTTGTTCCTCAACGGTAATTGACATTTATTTTTAACAGACCATTCCCGTTTCAATTCCCCCTTTAAACGCTCTAGCTTCTCTCAGATGGTGTACTCCATCCTTTCTGATCAAGCTCATTTCTCGGTATGCAGCACAGCATCAACCCGACCGGCATGACCTGCACCCCTGACACCTCATCCACAAAAACACATCTCCATCTGTTTACACTCAGATCCTCTCTTATCTCAAACCCTTCCAAACCTTCCTTATTTGTTCGACCATTTTCCTCTCTTCCTCCTATCTCACCCACAAAGCTCATTTTTATGGCTAACCTCTTATCTCTGCACCGTCTGCTCTGGTGTTTTGGCGCTGGAGTGGGAGATGTGTGCATGGGGTCAGGGGGATTACTTGTTTTTGCCACAGATCCCCTCTTGCTGCCTATTTCAAAGCCCCTATGGCATGCAAACCAAACCATATTTCTCTCAGAGATTGTGGTGTCATTATTTCCTCATTCTACCGGCCATTAATCAACAGCATTACAAATGTGCCGATTCATCCACTCGTAACATTCCTTAGTATTGTTTCCCCTCAACATAAAACAACACATATTAACAACATAGGCCCAGATAGTGAAAAACATGATTCATAAAAGTGCACAGCAATAAAACATTTTCAATCAGTTATGTAATATGGCATATGGCATTTCCCTCTTTTTAAATGGAGCTTCCTCCTATCAGTAATGCTGTAGCACATATTTTGGGAACAATTCAGCCCTTTTAGACCCCATTTACACGCAAACGCAAACAAAGTCTTCCGTTCACACGAGACCGCTCGGGAGTGCTGGAGACGCTGTAGTACATATGCCGGGCCTGTATATGGCGCTGTACTTCTGCCACAAAATACACCAAAAGCAGCGAAGAAGACCCCAGAGTATGGTTGCCCTTCTGTTTATGCCCCGCGGTGGATTTAGCAACATGTAGTTCATGTAATTCTTCATGTCCACTTGTTGCTGATGGTTGTGGTAGAGGAGCTGTAGATTTTTGCACTAACATCTGTAGCAGTGAGCAGCAGAGGAGGGGAGAGGTGGGGCTATGGCTTCATCGTTATCAGGTAATGATCGTATAGGGCGTACACACGGAGCTGTTTGGCCCCCCAGAGTGTTCCGTTTGCAGATCTATCCACCTTGGGACCCGTTATCGTTTGCGGGGTCCGTTTCCGCGTTTCTGTTATGGCCTCGTGTGAACGAACGGGCTATATGAAAGAGAAAAGTACCGGATACAACCATTTGCGTTCTCGTGTAAACAGCACCGTATAGAAGAAGAGCAAATGGGGCTCTTAAGTGCTGTGCCCAACTCAAAATGGCTTAAAATTGCTTGCAAAATTGGAGGAAATTAACTGAATGTTTTGCAATTCGACTAAGCTGTGTCTGTCCCTGCATCGAAGGACTGACTGTTGATTATTTAAAAAGAACCTCTGGGCAGCCAGTTGCTCTCTTCTGTCGTGCACAGCTGCAATATTAAAACCCTAATCAAATCACCAATTAACATGCTGGTCCCCCTCTGCTTCACTCCTGCTGACGATGGGAAAGAGGCTGCATTCTCTTCTCTTTTTCTTCAGTCTTTGTTTTTTTAACCCACCGTCCTTCCTCTTATGGGTTCAGAGGTGATATTCAGCATATTCTAATTTGATATTGGCTGTGCAGCGATAATGATTGTAATAAATGAGATGGCTGGCTCAATGTCTGGCTGTCTATCTTATTTGTTGACTAAGTGACATCTCTTCACTGCAGAAGAGCCAATTTATGGACAATCTGCACTATGTACATTCTCAAAATATTGAAGTGACTGTTATTTTGTATTGATTGTTGTGTTTTTATTTAGGTCTTAATGTGTGCACATGTAAAAATGTGTCTTTGACTGTGTATATATATATATAGATATATATATATATATATATATATATATATTTGCACACATATTTGTATATTTTATAAACATTTGTTTTTATATTCGGGATTGTGGCAAACAGTATTTCGATCTCTCTGTCTGTAGCCTACACACTAACTGGAAGAATGACAATAAAGTTGACTTTGACTTAGATTGAGAAACTGCTGATTTTCTTAAAATGTTGTATAGTCATTCATGTTCTGAATGATGCCTACTGACTTTGCTAATCCCCTGTTCCGGTTAACATTTTAGTACTTTTTGTGGACTTTCTTGTCGAGACAGGCCAATAAGCTTAGCTTATCATAAACACTGGAAACAGGGGAAACAGCTAGTTTGCCTGGGTCCAAAGGGAACAAAATCTGCCTACCAGGCTCCCCTTAGTAATTCACATTTTAGCTTAGCAACTAGTCCTGGCTAAGAAAAAGTCTTCCCAATCTACAAAACCAAGACTTTCCCATCACATTAGCCTCAGTTGTAGGCCACTTGGTTCTCCTGCTAGGTAGTAAATGTTAGCATGCTCACAAGTTTAGCTAAAATATTGACCATTATCAACATTATACCTGCTTTACATTAGCATAGCATTCTAAATGCCTGTTAGCATACTTATGTTAGCAGCAAAGAGGAGCCACACAAAGTGAATGAATGATTTGGATCAAAACAGCTTGAAGTTGAAAGTACTTGAAAGTACTTTTAGAGAGATGCACAAACATTTCTATGTATCCTTTAGCAACTGTAAGTATATTGAATTGGTTCATTTGAATTGATTATGCTTATAGGGGGAAACATTGTATGCGCACGGACAGAGGTGGACACGCAGTTCAGCTGCTATTGACAACACTCTAAATGCCGGACTCTGTATTTGCTGACTGTGAAACAAAACGCCTCGCAGGTATATTTAAAATTCTGTCTGGCACTCATGTCTGTCTGTCACACACACACACACACACACACACACACACACACACACACACACACACACACACACACACACACACACACACAACCACACACACACACACACACACACACACACACACACACACACACACCCACACACACACACACACACACACACACACACACACACACACACACACACACACACACACGCACGTGTGTTGGGCCTGACTTCTTTTTAAAGCTAAATCAAGGTGTTTTTCTAGTTATGAAACACACTAATTTAATACTGAAGCATATTATAATATTTGTCAAAAATATTGGCTTATTCAGCAAGTATTATGTTAGTCATAGTATGTTAAAGAAAGCAGGAAGAGTTATATTTTGTGGTATATTGCAGGATTTAAAAGTATTTAAAAACCAATCCTGAATTGGACTCTCATTTTAGAGTGTATGTCAAGATCAAAATCTTATGGTCCACCAAACACAAAACCAACACAAATTGAAAGCTTACTTGTAATTGCTATTAGTTTACGATCTGTAAACATATTTCATGCAGCTATAGAATGACTGCATACCCCTGTCATGATTCATCTATGGTATTTAGATTAATTACAACAAATCAATATGAGCAAAGTGGCACAGGAGGTCATGCATGGAGAGCATATTGATCCATTTCAATGGCAATAACTTGGATACAAAATCTACAACACTTCCTCTCTCCATGGTCTATGAATGTGTTCAGCAAAACTGACCTCAGAGCTCATGGCAGAAACCCTATGAATTAATCATCTACAGTGCTACACATTATTATGTGAACTTGACAACTGTGGGCAATGCCACTGGTGCAAAGGTTAGGGTTTAATACGATGTCAACACGTTTTACTTCCTAATTTGTTCGGCATAGCCCAACAGATGCATTGCTACTTCACTACTTTCAAGTTTCACCATGATTCTTATCATTCACTCTCTTAGAAGTTACAATTAAATCAATTGGGAAAATATATGTTATGACATTCATTATACAGTCGTGTCTGCTTATGTAGTACTTTATAAGGATGTAATATTCAGTTGCAGCGAAGAATATTACACAGTGAATGATCACTGAGTAAAACAGGGGTTTTGTGTATGACAATATTATCAATTGCCTATTTATTGTCTGAGCCTTAGCAAGTCCTAACAAACAGCATAGTGTGCTTTTCATCTCGAAACTTTGAAGGACTTTGAAATTGATGGAGTAGAACATAGGTAAAAATAAAACTTAACAAGAAAACTGATAAAAGGAAATTAAAATAAATTAAAATCTGTTATAAAATAAGAAAAGTATGTGTTTCCATTTGACTATAATTATAGAAGATAAAACAACAGAATGGAACCATCAGATACTTGGTAATGACATGATTTTAAAAGATAGTATGTCACAGTAACGTTTGATAACATTTTTAACGCAGCCAGCACATGATAATAAGTTTAGTAGATTCATTGTCGATTGTCAAATATAGGCTGCGTACATTCTTTCAAAAGGCTTATAACTTTACATGATATAATGTGATACGATATATTGTTACAATGGGAATTAAGGTAGGCTAGATCATTTGCATCTAAAAAATCCACCCATACATTTAAGCACAAATAAAGAAAAAAACATAAAAGGTGGTTAATGAGAAAAAGTTGTAATGGGGCAGTTCCTGTCTGTCTGTATTTAGTTGATCAGAAGCCTGTCTTACCTGCGCTCACACTCGGTCTCTTCTGTTCCGAGTCTGGCCCGTATATTTCTTCTTTTAATCCTTATTTCCCACCCCGCGTCCTGCACAAAGTCTCGCTACCACCAATCATTTTATGAATTCATGGCTTCGCCTTCAACCTTTTCGGATCAAAGTGTCCAGACAGAGTAATGCGATGGGAGCAGTAAGGTGCTTCCTGACTCCGCTCCTCTGAAGCCTTCCAGTCGCTTTGCCTCGCTGCCGGACGGACTTTCCCCGTTTAATGCAGGTGTGGCCGCGCACGGCGGATGTCCCTGTGGGAGGAGGCAGAGCGTCGGTGGATCGACGTCCCCGTGGGTAACCGCAGCACATGACACGGGAAGTGACAGCTCTGATAAATAAAAGCCTCACTGTGATTGTGAAATCAGCCGATGAGCTGCATGGGTTTTCTTTTTTTATACAGCAGACGTAGTTTAACCCATCCAGTATCCAGTGAAAACACCTATACCCATTATTGATTGATTCACATGGTATTCATAAGGTCACAATTGTTAAGAAATATACACGTGGTGTGTGTTTTCGTGCTATTCGTCACTTTACAGGCATTTATACTTTTCTCACTTTAACATGAAAGTTACCTCTTGACCTTGGAAACCATCTTAGCAAATCATCTCATTGCAGTGCTCTGTATATTCTGAATTTTCTGAGCACTTAAGTAGCTATTATTGTCAACTGGGCTCCAATTTTGATATTCATGTCTTTCTTTTTTTCAGTTTGTGTTTAACCTTTGTTTTTCAAACAAAACTAACAAGAACTGTGAAAAAATAAAATACCAATTATAAACTATTTTCTAAAGTCAACTTTAAACATGCCATAATAATATCTTCAACATTACCATTTCATTCTTATTTTGAAGAGATTTTACCATATTGCTTTGTAAGTATTGGACTGTATTTGACACTGCAATTAGCAATTAGTTTGTTGTTATTAATTTATCGCCTGATTGTTTTATAATCAGTTAATAGTGGAATAGAAAATAGAAATTGTGGAAAATGCCTGGCACAATTTCCTTACACCCTACCGTAGATGATGCCATTAAAATAGCTTCCAATGCCTGACCAGCTTTCCATAACCTAAATGTATTATGTTTACAAAGAAAAGCAGCTATCTCTCGATATAAATGCCTCCTTTCATCTGTTGATTCTTTCAGAACTGTCCTCCACCTCTCAGCAGGTTTGATATTTTCATCCTCACCATGGGCTACAATCCAAAATTAGATCAAGTGCTTCATTTGCAGTTAGTCACTTGCACATTGCGGTGTTACCACAGAGTGGCATGTGCAGACAGATAAGTCTTATTTATAGACCAAAGCAAATAAGAAGTGATCAGGAGTTGTTTTGTGTTGTGCATGAGATGTGAAGCTGGGACTGTAGCTGCTGGAAGCAAGAATTCTGCATGATTCTTTGTACTTCAGATGTATAGACCAAAAAGTCTAGCAGACACATAGTATATACAGTTTAAACTTTTAGAGAATAAATGCCTTCACAGTTAATTATTTCTTTAAATAGATAGCTCCCCTGTGGCGTAACACATTTATCATGGTTTCTCTGACACAATGGCTGTTATTGATTTCATTTTGTTTGGTTGTACTGTAGCTTGGAGGTGCACAATAACTGGGCTAATTAAAAAATAAAATGTTATGTCTCAAATGTCTAAACCTTTACAGTAGATTAAATAACCAAATATATTTGTATCCAAAAAAAGAAATAAGGCTGTAACCTTGCTGAGATACAAGTATAAACCATCCTGAGCTTAACCCCAAATGTTATCTGATTTGTATACTGTGTTTGATGGAGGGAACAATGTTTGAAAATATAAGAAATGTATCTGTGAAATTAAATATTTGAAAGATAAATTGTTTAGGCCAATTATTTATTTATATTTATCTTGACTTTGGCAAAAAGCCACACAGATTGGTCAGTGAGCTATAACATTAGTGAAAACAGACATCTCCCCCTGGTGCTGTATACTCCAAGTTCGGAACTGCTTTCCAGATGAACATCCAAACCCCTTTCACTACCTCCTCAACAGCCCTTTAACCTGCCTTCCAGTGTGGCCGTTTGGAAAAGTTTTACACATGTTGACCTTCTGATGTAGTTGGTGAAAAAGTAGTTTGAACAAGTTCTTTTTGAGTATACCTCTGTCTTTAGTCTCTGAGACTTGTCTCATATGCAATCCCGGTTTATCAGCAAAGCATGAGTGAGTGCTAACTTGTGGAGTGTCAGGCAAACTAAGGTAAACTTAAACTGTGTTTTTCCAAAACATGTTTTTTTCCATATTTAAAATGTTGCATACACAACAACTGGCACACTGACTGATGCATGAGGGACAACACAGTGTTTCTGTCGATCCAGCCAACAGACTCTCTCAGGGAGGTAAAGAGGGCTATAGTGGGGGGGTGACTGACAAAAACAAAGATGGCCTATCATTTGGTTTGCATTAGTGTATATTTATTCTGTTGAATTATCTGCCCACCAACAGAAACTAAACTAAATATTCAACAATGAAACACATGAAAGTGGCCGCCATCAGCAGAGACATCAGGAGGAAGAAAAATGTTACTAATGTATCTTCACAGCAGTGTATTTTATTCAAAGTAAAATGAATTAGCTAAATCCATGTTATGTTTTCTTACGAGAGCTTCACACAGCAACTAATGGCAGACTACACACTCATCATCAGGTTGGTACATTATAAATGATTACTGCCTTTCTTTCCAATGCTTTGCCTTGGGTGTGTGTGGTGTGTGTGTGTGTGTGTGTGTGTGTGTGTGTGTGTGTGTGTGTTGTGTGTGTGTGTGTGTGTGTGTGTGTGTGTGTGTGTGTGTGTGTGTGTGTGTTTGTTGGAAAAAAAACCTTGAATGACCATTCATTCAAATCTTGTCAGTATCTTAAAACCTTTATAATTAATACTACTTAGAAGTCGAGAAAAGAGAACATGTACAGCAGCGAATTGTTAAATAATTGAATGCATTGAAACTGTATACATTTTATTGCAACTGTTTCATTTGCATATCAAGAAGAGCTTTCCACTGCAGCCACACAGTGCCAAGAGGTTGACATTCTGTGAGTCTCAACTTGTTTTTCATCATGTTCTTCTTCACAGCCACCATGTTTCTCTCTGGGTGCTCCCTGTGGCAGGAAAACTCCATCTGTGTTTATTATATCTCATGCTCCACCTGGGAGAAAAGGGGAGTGTTCTTGTGAACAGATGTAGTGCAGTCTGTTAATGGTGGTGACACTGCTGTGAGAAATCATACATGTTTTCCCTGAAATGCAATGGTAAACAAAGAACTTGAATCCCGAAAAATAGTCACGTTTCAGTAGATGGTAATCTTTAAGAGAGTTGAAGGAATGTCCTATGCTGTGAGGAAATCTGGTTTATCTTAACTTTGTTTAGGTGATAAGCTGGGAGAGGAGAGGAGAAGTGAAGATGGGAGATGACCTGGGACATTGCCTCTGAAATATGGAAGCGGTTAGTGATGCAAGCAGGAATAAATACAGTCACTTCAATAACTCTTCATTTCACACACATGAATGCACAGATGCCCAGATTCACACACACACACACACACACACACACACACACACACACACAACCACACACAACACACACACCACACCACACACACACACACACACACACACACACACACACCACACACACACACACACACACACACACACACACACACACACCACACACTCACTCTGGCTGGATAAAATGATAACAGCCCATGCCCACATACATACATACACACACACACACACACACACACACACACACACACACACACACACACACACACACACACACACACACCCTGCTTCCATCACTTAAAGGACATTGCATCGATGTACATTCATTCCCATGGTGACAATCTAACCACTAAAGGTCTTAGCTCTAACCTGAACCTTAAACCACATGTTAACCCTAACATTTGAATGATTGACATTGTGGGGACTTGAGGGGTGGTTTATACAACACCAAAACTAATGGATCGACTTCTGAACACCATCTCTGATACATGTACAGATTGTCCCTGTACCTCCACTCTCTGATAGTCACTGAATCAACTGGAATGTGTGAATATATTTTTCTATTCTTTGCAATATGTGGAAACATTACTTTTTGTAGATGACATGCCATTCGACCTTCAACTCAAAACGGTATGTATAAACCACACAACCATGTCTAACATCAACCACAACCTTGACCTACATCTTTGGGTATAAATCTGCCTTTTTTTTTTAACTCAACCTTGACTTAGTTATAAGCTGTTGTTCTAGCCAGCTTTAAAGAGTGCTATGTTTTTCTGTTAAGTTACTGGTTCAAAATATTGCTGTTGCCACGTCACCTAACTGTGTATTTGTATGTGTATTTTGAAAATTATTTAACATCGTTTTTTTTTTATAATATTTTTTATCATATCATAACTTAGTACTTTTTAATGCATGTAACATATATAACATATGTAACATTAAGCTGTCTGTGGCTCTTTTTTCTGCTGTAATACGTAAATGTCCCCTCTGTGGGACTAATAAAGGTATTCCTGCAGGTCTCCCTTGAAAAAGAGATCAATGATCTCAATGGGATTTCACCTGGATAAATAAAGGTTTTGAATTGAATTGATTCTGATATAAGGTACATAAAGTGACCACGATTTTACCCTCAGCTGCCCAGGTGATAAAGTTAAAGCAATATTAACATACTAGCAACTTAAAATACACAAACATATAGCACCCATCAAATATTGGCCAAAAACAAGTCTTAAATTAAAAAGCTCTTTGAAAGATATGACCACAATGAGCACTCACACACATACAGAGTGAGAAGAGAGGCTGATGAAGCACCTGATCCTCGATCTATAAGGACCAGTGTCTCATTTGCATTTAAATTGAAGATAGGCCTACACCAAGTTGGCAGGATTATACAAACAATCAGCAATGATGAGGGGAGCAGAAACTGTTCCTGCCCAAAAGCAGGTGCAAAATTAGCTCTTTTGATCAATAATAGTTTGTTTTTGTTTTATCTAATGTTTGGACAGAGTGTTTGCCAATAATCTACTGTACACTAAACCGTCTGAACTGGGGTCGGTCGCTTCAAAACATCAATGAAGTAATGGGGCCTGGCAGACAGTGATGCATGTGTAACAGGCCCCGCATGCAGGGCGCGATGACAGATAGTATTCCTGCAAAACAGGAGA